TTAGTTTAGTTTAGTTTAGTTTAGTTTAGTTTAGTTTAGTTTAGTTTAAGTTTTAGTCTAGTTTAGTTTAGTTTTAGTTTTAGTTTGATTTCCATGGCCTGTCAGAGAATTTAAAAACATTGTTCGGTAATATTTCACCACACTTTAAAATCATACATTTTTATATCAATAGCACAATTTAACCAGAAATTACCATGGTAATGGTAGTTATGGGCAACATACCAGAGTTACTACATTTTTTTTCCTCATAAAATATTGATGGAATTTGATGTAGCTATTTGTTTATTGGGTATTCACTCCTAAAAAGCATTATATTATTTTCCTTACCGCTCTGTGGAATATCTAGTCAAGCAGCACTAACAGTGAAAAACTAACCCGTCTAGTGGAGCACAAAGAGCATCTCACACACTCTGTGTGTGTCTATACACACATACAGACTCCCCACGCTGTGGCGGCGGGTTGACAAGCCCGTCTGCCAAACAACTCAATTAAGCAGAAAAGAGGAGGAAAAAGAAAGAGAAGGAACAGTGGAGAGAGGGAAAACGAGAGAAAGAGAAAAGCCTGTTCCCTGTCAGCTGTGCGGCCGCCTCTGCGGGGCAAGAAGGGCAGGAACACGTCGGAGAGAAAGAAGAGAAGAGAAGAATAAAGGGAGGGTGTGAAAAGAGAAAGCTCTGTGATGTGTTAACTGGCATTCTGGACCCCAGGGCAGTGATGGGGCACAGGTCAAACTAAGAGCCACTGGGTCATTGCCACGCCGACAGGGACACCCGGGCCAAACAGTGTGTCTGTGTGTGAGAGAGAATGATTGTGAGTATGTGTATGTTTGCTCTTCTCTTCAGTCTGGAGAGAACTCTCTCTGTCCCAAGAGTGCGAGTGAGTGTGTATTTATATTGCACTTCACAGACTCTTATGAGAACTGAAACATGACTACATTCTAGCTCCGAAGGCAAAAACGCACCGTAATTCTTAGCCTTAAGGAGTTTATAAATGCTTTTTTCATGACATATTTGGTCATTCGGTTTTTTTTTTTAGCTCTATATGTTTTGTGGCATATAGTGGCTGTATAGAAAATATATTACATAAAATATCAAGTGGGATATTATATCATATTATATTCATTTAAAAGATTAAATGAAAAGATGTTTCAAAATGAAGACACCAAGTATTCAGACACTTTCTGTTTGTTAAATGCTAGTGAAACATGTTATGTAAATATGAACGAAAACAAATGGACAAAAACTAATTTACCACTAAAATGAACTTGAGATTAGTTAGTTAGTTAGTTAGTTAGTTAGTTAAAAGTAATTACAAAAACTGCAAGAAAGTCAGTTCTCAGAAAATGTTTTATATTTTGTTAGGTAATGCGATGAAATGTATACATTTTTGGTTTAAGAGTCCAAAGACCTTTCTTGTGGCAACTTTATTTAATGCCACAATAATTTTGTTGTATGCAGGAGAAACCAGAATTAATAGGCCTTATAACTGAACGAAAATAACATGGTAATGTTTCAGATATCTTTGGCAAGACATTGAACTCTCTTTTCTAATGAGTGTGTTTGACTGTTAGGGTCTGGTTTGTTCCCATGCCACACCACCCTGAAGCACTCGCAGTCTTCAGGGGCATAAGGGTAATGAGACTCTGTTATGGAAGCCAATAAAACTGTGTGTGTGTGACAGAGAGAGGGTGTGAGAGGATCGGCAGGTTAATGGCACAGGTCATTACTGGGCCCGGTAAAGTGTGTGTACTGGGCTGATCTGGCCCGGAGAACAGTAGGCAGGAATTTTGGGGTGGAGGGATGAGGGAATACAGGAGGTTTAATGCTTGAGGAGATAAATAAGAGGGGTGGGAAGAGGAGAGGGGGTCCCCTGTTACACCCGTCCCTCCCACTCTCTCTTTCATTCACATGTTCCAATTTATGGCTCAGCATTTCCTATCTCCAAGACTCCCCACGTTGAGAAGAGAGAGAGGGAGAGAAAGCAGAAGAGATAAAACCTTGATTTTGTGAATTTGATCTTGAAAAGATAATACTCTGAAAAGCACAAAAAAAGGTTTAAAAATGATTTTTAATTGAAACAATTTTTATTTAAATTACTTTTGAGGGTGTAAGTTAATCAAAGTCCGCTTAGTAATAATTTTGATTTTAAATAAATTATTTAATTTGAAATAATAACTAAATGACTGAATTGGATCAAATCATTATTATCTTATTTGATCACATATTTTTACAGTGCAGGATTGAAAAAGATTTAGTAAATTTCCTGGGGGATGGGGTGAGTGAGTTAAGATGTTCTGTATGGTTACTAGGGTGTTGCTATGAGGATGCTAGAGTGTTCAAGGTCCTAGTGATACATAGGGTGTTTCTATGTGGGTAATAGTTGCTAGGGTTTTGGGTGGTTGCTTACTGACCCAAGGTACATGAACCCTCCCCAAGTTTCTTTTCAATAAGTCAGCTGCAACATTTAAGGCATCATTGAAGTTCTTAACAGAAATTGCACATTAAAGTTTAGGAATGAGCAATAGTAAGACTGGTGCTTACCAGCTAATAATGTAATTGCATGAAAATAAAAACATTAATAAGAAATGTAATGTTAAAAAATGTATAAGTTTCTCTGTGTGCGTGTGCGTGTGTGTGTGTGTGTGTGTGTGTGTGTGTGTGTGTGTGTGTGTGTGTGTGTGTGTGTGTGTGTGTGTGATATATCGATGACTCTCTAACCCTTCATAAGTCACAAAGAGATTGGTGTTTTTTGGCCGGGTTGCTGAAATAAAGAACCCGAAGAGGAGAGAAATAAATCCTGAGACATGTGCAGAGGCTCTGAAAGGAGGAGTGGAGATCTTCTCACACTCATCTTTTCACCCTAAGGATGGATGGCCCTCAATCAGTCTTAAACTTGGCCTGTCTCGGACACTAACACATTTGCATGTTTACCTAGCTAGACTTCTATTGTTATTCAATAAAGCGAATAAATGTACATTTTTAAAATATAAAAATACAAATATTGAGTTTTTAGCATTAATTATTTTAGTATTTTTAAAACCATGTAATTTGAGGACGTCCCCAAAAAAGAGATTTTGCTAGAACTTCAGGAAACATTTTTGGGCACTAAAACATTAGAAACAAACCTGCTGATTTAAAGCAAAACACGAAAATAGTGAAGACCACTTAATTTTCACCATACATTTAGATTTGAACATGTTCGCTTTATTTGTGAGGACATTTTTGCCGATTTGTTCTTCATAAGAATCAAAATTTGTACATTCCTAAAACACTTAATTAACTGGTTTTACAAAGATTTCCTCTAATTAAATAGTTCATGAAAATCGATTCGCCTGAAATGTTGTGAATTCACAGTACAGATGTCAGATCTCTTCAACACACAGTGGTTGGTAGGGCCATATATCAGTGAAGTATAACCAGGACACATTGGCATTTAGTGGTGAACAATAGGACACCCCGTTCTACTTTCTCTTCTTTTGTCTCACTTTGTTTTGGCTGGATTTAGCTGCACTGATGAGCTGAAGAACGAACACAAAGAGAGAGCAGACCCCTACATTCTTCTCACAATACGCCTACCATCATCAGAGAGAAAGTTATCACCTCAGGAGAGTACGACAGGGGAAGATGGCTTTAAGAAAAGCACTGAAGTGAGGTGAAATTAGTGAGGTAATCTCTTCAAGTTGTCAGCGGACATAAGGCAGCTATATGTAAATGTAAGAGGTGGCAAGTTAAAGTGAGTGTGTGCGTCCTCGCAAAGAGAAGGGTTTTAAGTCGGAGGGTCTTACTTTGATCTTTCCCACTTCTCTGTCCCACCTCTCCCCCCTCTGTACTTCTTTTTCTTTTTTTACCTCCTTGTAAGAAAATCAAGGCCTATTAACCCTAATCTCACTTAATGGCATATACCTCTCCTTTTGTCCTGGGCGATGGGCAACAGACTCTTTCCATTCAGCCTCTCGCCCTCTTTCACACGCCTGGCCGGACTAATCCCCTTCTTGCTGCAGGGCCGATTATTCCTTGTATTTTATCATTATTCTTATGATTATAATCTGCATTCTCATTCATGCACCCCTATCCACAAGATGGAATTGCTTTTCCCTCTCTTTCATGGCTTTCACCGTGCCCCGACATTGAAAGAATTGCTTCTTCTTTTTTTCAAATGCCCGGCCTTCGGAGGGGTGGATGTCAGAGTTTGGGTGCAGGAGAGGGTGTTGTTTGTAATTTAGGTAAGTGAACTCCTTTGGTAGAAACACATTTTCTGGCCGTTTGAATGTGTTGTTCACAGAGAGTAATGAATGGCGCCACACTGGCCCGTGTAAACGCATTTACCTCGACAAGCAGCGAACGAGGGAGTGGATTATAGACGGTGAGGTTGGAGAAAGAGTGTGGGCTAATTATTATGGGGCTGATGTGGGGTTTGTTTGGGGAGTTGAATGGGGTGGGTTCAGGCAAGGCTGGGGTGAAAGAAAGGCTCCGTCCTTGTGCTGCAAAAGGGGTGCACAATTAATTATTTCAATCCGTTTGGATGCAGCCGAGCACACAAGCATGCACAAGCTTACTCTGACATGGAACAAGAGGAAAAAACAGGATATGTGTTTAAAGATTAACTTTTGCACTAGTTTTAAACAACAGGCACACACACACTGTTTCAGTATTACTAGTTTAATTCTAAGCAAACACAATATGGGAGACAGTTAAGGCTTGAAGATTTTGCAGAAAGAAAAAACAAAAGTTTCAATTTGTTTACATTAGCTAATGCATTTTTGCACATTCAAGTTTAAACCACTTGAAATGTTAAAAATGTATTAGTATATGTAGAAATTAACATTAATCAAGATTGACAAGTGCTTTAAAAGAATTGCTCAAAGTTTGTTTATGAACATTATTCATTATGTTGTTCCAAACCTGTGACTTTTTTTCTATAGATAGAAAATAGACATTTTAATATTTTGTGTTCCACAAAAGAAAGTCAAACAGGTTTAAAAACATCATGACATCATTAGGTAAACTATCCCCAAGGTTAACAAATTGGACCTTATTGTATAGTGTTACAAAAAAATTTAATAACCAGACACCTCACCCTCCTCAGACATTAAAAAACTGCATGTTGTTGTATTGTTCTTTTTTAGTCTTTCTCCAAGGCATGTTGGAATCACTTTGGGAAACGTGTGGCGGGATTAACATGCACCACCCGTGGGGTCCGGCACACCCCACACTGGCACACCAGGCTCTCCGTCATGCTGCTTGACCCCCAAGCCAAGGGCTCCTCCTGGGCACCCTGAGGCAGGAGAGGGCACTTTGCCACAGCCAGTTGCTGCTCAGAGGAGGAAAGCAGAAGCTGTCCCGGCCCGGTGAGAAATGGCCACCCTCCTGTCAGCAGTAGACGTGGTACAGTTCCACTGACGCCCATGCCAATGCTGACCTCGCCCAGCAGACGCCTCATCTCCTGCAAGGAAGAGCCTAGGAGTAGGATGTAGTTACGGGCCAGCACCAGCGTGGAGATTTTGGACAGGCGCCTTCCAGTCGGAGGGGCTCCAGTCGGGAGGTAAGGGTGCTGCAGTGCTCCCCCTACACCAGTGGGAGAAGAAGAGTAAGGCACCATTACTTCCCTTAAAGCATCCATGGCCACGTTGAGGTCCTGCATTCTCTTCCTCTCACGGCTGTTGATCTTTCTCCGCAGCTCCTGTTGCTCCTCCGCACTAAGCTCACGAGGGGGTTTCGTAGATCTGAGATGTCCATGGAGACCCACAGCATTGGAGGTCGGTCCTCCTGCTCCTGTTACCCGTACCATTCTTGGCATGAGTTGCTGTAAAGAGTCTTCGCCCTGCTCTCTGCACCTAAAACCAGGCACAGTCTGCATTCTGAAGAAGATATTGAGAAAACATAAGTAAGATAAGTAATTGATACAAATTGAGGGATTTGCAAATATCTTTGGGATGTATGTATTAAAGTTACAGTTCACTACATTTTTTTTTAAATTCCAGCATTATTTACTCAACCTCGTGTCGTTCCAATCGTGTATGACTATTTCTTTTGTGAAGAATGTGAAGAACTATTTTTTTCCAAATAATTAAAATCAATGGGGCCCAAAACAACACTGGACTCCTTTGTCAAAAAAAAAAAAAAAAACACAAAACACTGGGACATTTTTCAAAATATATATTATTTTGTGTTCCACAGAGTGAGTAAATTATGACAAAATTTTTATCTTTGGGTGAATAATCTCTTTAAAGTTCAGTTGTCATATTGCTCAGTCTTTCTAGTAGGCAAAGACTTTACCTTCAAGCTCTTGATCCACACACTCCAGATCTTCTTCCGGGATTCCTCAAATAATATTAAAGCAGTTCACTTCTTCAAGTCCATATTCTAGTCATGAGTTAATCTTCCTTAAAAACAATAATTGTTAAATGCTCAATTAGATAGTTTGCTCTCTTGTTCACGTACTGTAGTTGTCCTTTATAGAGATCTTTAAACTGCGGCTAACTAACACGCTCCTAACTATTGGAAGAATATGAGAGAAGTACTGCTATAATGAGCTAATGAGTTACTCTGTCACTCTCTCTCTCTCTCTTTCTGTCCCTGACGCCCCCTCATCTGCCCTCCATGCTAATGATTTGATCATCATTTCCAATGGTTAAAAACCCTGATCGGGAGCACATGCCTCATGTTTGTTGAATGGGATATGATGATGTCTTCATCTCAATGCAATACTGTGAGATTTTCTTGCATGCATAGGATACATTGTGACATTGATTTTTAGCTACTGAATGGGGAAGCAAATGAACAAGTGAGCCAACAAACAGAAGGCCTAATGATTCTCGTCACAGGTGGCACACCGGACATAGCCAGGGCAAGACTGATTGTAAAACATATAAGCGGTGCAATTGTCTCTTTTACCAAACTATTGACACACTTTCATTTAGCCTCCCTCTAACTGTGAGAGGAAGGAAGAGACGTAAACAGAAAGCATGTTGTTCACGTTGAGAGCGGGAGGTGAGAACATAGAATCTCCTGTTTGTCTCGCAGGGGTGAGAGGAGGGTAAGAAGGTTGCGGCACCCGGTCCCGGTGAATGGTATCATGGCATCCATGCGCACATACTCATAGGCTCAGACAGGAAAGAGAATTTAAAAGAGCAATCGCAACGCCAGGCACCTGCAGGGCAACAGAACACAACCTGCCAGTGTGTTGGTGTGTGTGGAATTGTGTGTGCTTCTAGCTGACCTATAAAAGACAGCCTGTGATGGATTAGAGCTGGGATGTTCGTCAGCTGTATGTCTGTGAACGTGTGTGTGAAAAGAAACGGCAACCGAAAGGAGGGAGGGCGAGAAGAGAGGGCCGAAAGGGACACCTGCTCTGACACAGAGACAGAGAGAAGAGATGAAAAAGAGAGGGAAAGAAAGAACCTGGTGTCCACCCGCAACACCGCCCCCCTCCCGCTCACTCCGTCCTTCCTTCCAGCTTGTGGGGGGTTGAATGGGGTGGCGCGGTGCCGGGGGGCTCACATCCGTATCCCCTGCCCCCAGAGCCCATTGCCTCCGTGGGTTTCATAGCGAGGCTGGAGCAGGTCAGGGACCGGTGGAGCCAGGCAGCGGGGGAGATCAGGGCTGTCTTTGTGGGGGCCAGAGTGTTTTCCATGTGGGCCAAGCCGGCGAGCTTGGGCTGGGTCTCTGGAGCTGCACCTGGGGGTTCAATCAGCTCATTCACACCAAGCCTGTTTCCTGTAGTTACCAGTAAAACGCCTGGCTGAGGTGGTGTCCACTTGGCACCGCTGGGGTTCCCATCTCTGAGACACACACACACACACACACACGTACGATAGCTTAATTATGCTAGTAATAAAAAGCTTGGGCTGGGTCTCTGGAGCTGCATATATAAAAAAAATATACACACACATTCACCGGCCACTTTATTAGGTACACTTTGGTAGTATCTTGTTGAACCCCCCTTCATGCCTTCAGAACTGCCTTAATCTTCAGGCATAAATTCAACAAGGTGCTAGAAACAGTTCTCAGAGATTGTGGTTCATATTGGCATTATAGCATCATGGAGTTGCTGCAGATTCGGCTGTGACTGTGGAGGCCATTTAAGTATGGTGAGCTCACTGTCATGTTCAAGAAACAAGTTTGAAATTATTTGAGCTTTGTGACATGCACGTTATACTGCTGGAATCAGAAGATGGGAACACTGTGGTTATAAAGGGATGGACATGGTCAGCAACAATACTCAGTTAGGCTGTGGTGTTTAAATAATAATAATAATAATAATTTGTTACATTTATATAGCGCTTTTCTGGGTACTCAAAGCACTTTACATGGAAGGGGGAATCTCCTCAACCACCACCAATGTGCAGCATCCACCTGGATGATGCGATGGCAGCCATAGTGCGCCAGAACGCCCACCACACACCAGCTTACTGGTGGAGAGGAGACAGTGATGAAGCCAATCAGTATATAGGGATGATTAGGAGGCCATGATGGACAGAGGCCAAGGGGCAAATTTGGCCAGGATGCTGGGGTTACACCCCTACTCTTTTTTAAAGGACATCCTGGGATTTTTTTAATGACCACAGAGAGTCAGGACCTCGGTTTAACGTCTCATCCCAAGGACGGTGCTCTTTGACAGTATTGTTTCCCCGTCACTATACTGGGGCATTAGGACCCACACGGACCACAGGGTGAGCCTCACTAACACCTCTTCCAGCAGCAACCTGGTTTTCTCAGGAGGTCTCCCATCCAGGTACTAACCAGGCTCAGCCCTGCTTAGCTTCAGTGGGCAACCAGTCTTAGGCTACAGAGTGATATGGCTGCTGGCAATAATGCTTGGTTGGTACTAAGGGGCCCGAAATGTGCCTAGAAAATATCTCTCACACCACTGAACTGTTGACTCAAGGCAGGATGGATCCATGCTTTCATGTTGTTTACACCAAATTCTGACCCTACCATCTGTATGTTGCAGCAGAAATCGAGACTCATCAGACCAGGCAACTCTTTTCCGATCTTCTATTGACCAAATTTGGTGAGCCCGTACTAATTGTAGCCTCAGTTTCCCTTTCTTAGTTGACAGGAGTGACACCCGGTGTGTTCTTCTGCTGCTGTATCCCACCTGCTTTAAGGTTGACGTGTTGTGCATTCAGAGATACTCTTCTGCACACCTAGGTTGTAATGAGTGCTTATTTAAGTTCCTGTTGCATTTCTATCAGCTCGAACCAGTCTGGCCATTCTCCTCTGACCTCTTGCATCAAATAAGGCATATTTGCCCACAGAACTGCCGCTCACTGGATAGTTTCTCTTTTTCTGACCATTCTCTATAGAGATAGTTGTGCCTGAAAATCCCAGTAGATTCACATTTTCCGAAATACTCCGACTAGCCAACAAACATTTAAAGTCACTAGAATCACCTTTCTGCAGATCGTCTTGACCATATCTACAAGCCTAAATGCATTGAGTTGCTTCCATGTGATTGGCTGAATAGATGAGCAGTTGAACAGGTGTGTATACTGTATACCTTTATTACTAATTTATATAAAAAACGTATGTAGTGTTGAAACCTTTACTACTTATGAATCGTTACAAATATGGTCTTAAATTATTTTTAATTATTTTATTATTTACATTAAAGGGTCTTATATTTTTTTACATTTATTTCCCTTAAACATACAGATACCCTCTGAAGTTTGGCAAGTCATATGAGCTATAGCTCCATTCACTTTCTTTGTATGGAAAAGAGATGGCAGGACAATTCTGAACATTTTGCCCTTTATGTTCTACAGAACAGAGTATATTGGTGAGTAAATGACAGATATTTAATTTTGTGAGCCAATAATATACAGTACATTGTAATCGACATTTCATTTTGTAACAAATTTCCCGATCCATTTCCTTATTTCTTGTGTTTAGGTGAAGGATCGTGCAGCACAAAGGCAAGACGGAAGACCAAAAATAAATCTGTGCACCAGCAGAAACATCACAATACCTCTGTGACAGAAACAAAAACACAAACAACAAGGAAACATTGGGCATAAAGAAGTTGAACTACCTGTGCTAACTTTGACAGCTTGCACTGCTAACTGTTTTTCATGATGTGGAAGGTCACAACACAAGCTGATGCATAAAATCCGCAACATTGAAATGGAGAAGGTCTGCTTCCATATTCATTACCAGACCATGGACGCCGAGAAACGTCTGCTAAATGCCGAGCGTGATATTTCAACCGCCGGCTGGCCAGCCCTTCGCCAGCTTGTGTCCGTACTGCACGTACTGCGGAGCTGTCTCGCACACCAACAAACCTGCATAAAGAAAAGTTCTAATGAGAAATTAACAGATGTCACAACTTTATTCTCTCTTTCTCTCCCCTGGAGGGAAGCAGGTGTGGAGGGCGAGGCTGGAGGGCCTAAACCTCCATCAGACGTTTCACGTTCTCCACAAAGTAGCTTCTAAAAAAGAGTGTGTATCTGGTGGAGATGCTGTAAAACAGTTGACATGGGGGAGGTGAGCTGTCTAGAGCTTCAGAGCACTGCGAACCCTGCTTGACGTGTTGCTGTGGGCCGGCGGCCATGGATATGAGAAGATTACAAGCTGTTAATAGGGCGGAACCAATGAGCTGAAGGCTGGGTATTGTGACTCCCAGCATGCTCTGGGAAAGGTTGGCCTGGACAGAACGGTTGGCTTCTCAGATGGATGAAGCCAGGAGAAGAGTCACCCCATGGGCCTTTTGTCAAGTTGCCCGAAGAACAGTTGACACTGTTTCAAAATCATACACAGTCAGTGACGTCCAGAGAGTGTTGGGAATCGTTCTTTAAACACACGCTCTGAAGCGGTCCTGCTGAGGACACACTGATTATAGCTGTCACGGGCTACTCAGTGCCAGCTGCCATGTGTGTCACATTTCACTAATAAGAGCACTCACTCTGACACGTCACATTGAACATATGCATTGCAGAACGCCGTGCCAAAAGGATTCATGCAACAACAACAAAAAGTAAACCTTTTGTGAGGCAGATTTCCATTTCATGGTTTTTAAAGTTTTTTCTCTCACCTTTTTGTTGATCTCTTTACAGGAATAAATGCAAAGACCGTTGAGTTTTGTCAGTTCGCCTCATCATTCACTTCTTTATCGATATTGACATGTAAATTCAGTGGTAACAATTTCTAGATCAATTCCCACCCAATGTCCGTTTTGAGCTTTCTACGAACACTGTATCTCCAATCCACCATTATAGCTGTGTGTTACAAAGCTTCTGTATAAATTGATATTCTCATTCATCAGGCAATTTTAGTTTCTATGTGTTATTGTTGCACAAAATGTGTGAGTGTTAATTTAAATTAAATTAAAATGAAAACAGTGCCAGGGCTATAACCACCATAGACT